GGGAACTTTTTGGAATAATGCTAAAAACACATTTATGTTTCCATATAAATTAGAGTGAGCTTTCATAGACTGTTTCATAAATATAGTCATCGACAATGAATTTATGTGATTAAATACATAAAAACTGAATTTTTAAGAAGAGAAAGTTTAATAAGTAATTTTTCTAAAAAGTGCAATCTTGGAAAGGCATTTCTAATCAATATGTCTATTTATAGAACTTGTTATACAAACCCAAGATGTGGGATTAGGTGATAAACTCTTCTGGTATATATTTGTTCCTGTTTTCTTTGTGCCTCATAGGATGAAAAAATAATCAGAATATGTACTATGTTTATATCTTAAAAAATTAGAAATGTGTTTTTTAATGTGTAGGGGCAGAATAGACGCCAGCTGTCAGAGAAAGTCAACAGAAAAAGATGCAGCTCTGGCAATTGGAAGACTAGCCAGCATGCATGCATTGAATTAATGCACCCTAGGAAAAGAACTCCATTAATGACTGAAGGGAGTTGGTGTATATATACCTGAGTTTTCTCACACTTTGAGTGGGCTAATTCTGAAGCTACTGTTTTAAATGGTTTCCCAGGAATCCCAGTAAGATTAAGCTCTGTTTGCTCACAATGAAACTTGCTTGGTAATTCACCCTTCATTGCCTTCCTTCCATTCCCTGTCTCACTTCCCCAAATCCCTACTGTTTTCTGAAATCACTTTCTAAAGACACTATTTGCACTTGAATACTTAAGTCAGGATCTGATTTTGGTAGAAGACAAACTCAGAAAAGTTTCCCAAAGCAGAGGCTGAAGAGACACTCAAGTAGAGGGAGTATTATGTCCTATAGTTAGTAGGACTCATTGTAGGAAAGGCAGGAGGAAGGAGACAAATGGGTTTTGCAATCTTCGTGGACATCGACTACCTGTGTTTTCTCTAGAAAGCCAATCATTATTACTGAAAATAGATTATCTTATGTCCATGTTACTCTGATTAAAACATAGGAAAGAAAAAAACCTCTACTGAAAGCCAATAAAGACTAGGGATTTTGTTCTTCAGATTAATATAATTTTCTATCAGAGTTGCTTATGTTCATAACTCATCAAGTAAGCAAGGAAGCACACACATTCTCTTGTATCTTATGGTGTTAGAAAATATTATTAAATTTGCACTGCCAATTGCTTGGTTAATTAAAAATAAAGTATTTCTTTTCAGAGAATTAAAAGGTCAAATATTTCTATTACATTTTTCAAAAAGTTCATTCAAACAGTTTATTTGTATCTTAAGAGGTATAGCATACTATAAACTGGGAAATGATTTTTAAAATTTTTTTCAGTTTTATTAGAATAGATAAAATGTTTTTGTCTATTTAATAAGAGATAAAATGTTTATGTCTATTTAATCAGAATGATAGAGGTACACATAGTATGAAATGGAGAAGTATGCTTTTTTAAAAAATAATAAAACATAATAGAGAATGGATAATAAATTGTACTCTCTGATAACCTTCATTGACCAAATCAGATCATAGCTAACTGACCTTTAGATGTCTGACCAGGTCTTAAGATAGTCTCTGAAATTCCTGGCATATCAGAGTTAAATAAATTATTGGTAAGCATGCTATCCACATTTAAAATCATACCTTCTGCTCCTAGGCCCCATGGAATGGTAGGTAGTATTTAAATATTAAGTCTGAAGAAGGAAATAAGAGAAGGGTCAAATAAAAATACAGTGTCATCTCTCAGGAAGCTTATGTCTCAGTAAGGCGATTTAACTTAGAAAGCTCATTTTCAATTTAACTTATACATGGCAATGACAGATATTTTCTAAAATATTTTAGAAATATTTTTAGAAATTTCTTAACATCAGTTTCCAACTCTCAGGCTTATCCCAATTCAGAAATACTTTATGCTGAATACTTTTGTCCGAGCTTTAATACAATACAGATTTGAACTATCTTCATTTTTGAATTACCTTTGTCCCTGGTCTTTTACTGTTTTAAAACAATTTAGTAGCAAATCCTAGCCCTCTTCTAATTTTTCATTTGAAAACATCCTTGCATATTTTTGGTACACTTCACAGAACACTTTGATTACACAATGTCTGCCATCAGCTTTTTCTATCTTGACTACCACATACTTATTCCAAACCCTGATTTTCTGTCATCACAGCTCCCTTGTGTTTTGTTTTTTTTTTAAATCCAATTCCGTGTATAAATCCTCTTTATTTTGGTCATGAAGGCCATATCAGGGTTTCCTATTACATCATATATCAGATAAAATTCTGGACTTTTTAAAGGTTCACAGACCTTTACCAATATGTCTAACTTACCGGCTTTCCCTTTCTTTGAGGTCTCAGCATATCTTCTTCTCTGACTTGAGGAAATGTGTTTTTCATACTCCAGATGAACTTTTATTCCCAAACCAAATGTTATTGTTTTCCCCTTGTTCAGTGGACTTTAATCTGTCTTTCATCACTAAAAAAGCGCCAGAAATCCCAATACCTCCTAGATGTTCCCTGCAATAAAGGATGCTATGAAAAAGGTTAGTATTCTTTTCCATTCCTTTCCCTGTCAGGAATTAAATTTTATTCTATTCTCTTTGGTTATTGCCTCAGATATCCAGGTATTCTTGGTTAGAATATCATGGAATTACAGTTAAATTCTTTATTATGCTAGCTTTTACTGAAGCTATCATTCAGGTTGAAGTGCTCTAGTGAAAAGTACAAGGAAGGAACATCTTTGTTCTAGAAACCGAGCAACTATGTTTATACCTTTTCACATCTTAAAATACATTTCACATCTTACATTATCTCATTTGACTCATAAGACCTATGGGAAGTAGAGTTTCAGTCCCTGTTTTAAGTGCAAAGGAGATGAAACTCTAGTGTACTGCAGTATTCAGGAGGGCAGACTTTGGAATTGGGAAGAGTTGAGTTTGAATTATTGGGACAATGTTTATACCTATGTGACTCTGAATTATTAATATTGCTAAACCTAAACTGCCTCATAAAATAGGGACACTAATAACTATACGATATACTACACATAAAGAGCACCACATGTAAAATGGATTGCTTGGCACATGGCAAGCACTTAATAAATAGCCAACATGTTAAAGGATTTTCCCTACACTTTTAGAACATGACTGCAAGGACTTCAAACCAAGATTTCGGGCTCTGAAGCCCATGTTTTTCCATTATCCCTAACTGCTAGCACCCTGACTAATTAAACAACTAACTTGGTAGATGACCTTGAGAAAATACTTCACTGAATCAGTTTAGTGATCTGTAAGCTGAGTCTTTTCAGACTTTCAGAGTCTATCGTAGCTGTTATTCTTTTTCCGTAGCGTTGTACACTTGAGGTTCAGACTCCCTATATATCCAAGATCTGTATAGTCATAAGCCATGCACATTGCAACTAGTTTTATTCCTATATTCATACTTTCTTCAATAATTAGTTTTGTGTACACTCATTCAGCTGTTGCCTGCCTTTAGTCTGCCTTTTAGCGCCTCGTGAAGGGAAGACCCATATACCTAGCTTTATTTATACCCTTGCTTGTTCCCGAAAGGATTAAAGGCAGCGAGTAACATTGAAAAGTTCCCTAACGATGTTACACTGTGCCACTAATAAATACTCTTTTGATGAAACAACCCGTAGAAAACCGCCGATGAGTTGAGATGCTGTCTTTTACCTAACTCTTTAAAAATAAAAACTAATGTACCTAGCTAGTAGTCCTGGAAGCATAAAGTTAAAGGTTCTTCCTTCAGCCTTGACGCTGTCTCCCCCGTTGTCAACGGTCACTCGAATGCCCTTCTCAGACTAGCCAAAACTGTCGCCGCTCCAGCCCCGGCTTAACCGAGATCCCACCCCGCCCCTTCATTCCCTCTCATACCTAAGTTTCCTGATTGGGAAGGGGCCTGGAGAGCCTTTCTCACATTCCCGTTTTATTGGCTAGCATGACTGTCAGTAATCTCTGCTTCCCGCCTTCTAGCCTAGTGCGTTTCTTAGACCCCTTGGTTTCTGCGACAAGCCGCTTACGTTTGCCTGAGCTGTGTTGCCGGGACCGGCGACCTTTCACCCCTCCCTTCCCACAGGAGCACCACAGCCTCCATCCCCGGCGCGCGCCCCCGGACACGCGCTTAGCCCGCGCACACACACGCACGCGCGTACACACTCATACACACACCCTCCCCCGCCTCCGGCTGGGCCCCCTCCGCCCCCGCAGGCTGAGGCATCAGCGCTGGGAGGCGGCGGCGGCGGCGGCGGCGGCGTTGCTGAGAGGCAGGGACCCGAGCGCGAAGTGTGTGGGAGTCTACGAACTCAACCCCTCTCTACCCTCCCCTCGCAGCCATCCCCCTCCCTCCCCGCCAGCCCCCCCCTACAAGCGGGAGAAATAATGAGCGAGACCGGGCGGCAACAGCAGCATCGCCGAGCAGCCCAGGCAACGGAAGAACCGCTCCGGCAGCGGCGGCGGCGGCAGCACCAGCAGCGGGAGCGAGCGCAGCGCTAGCGCGGCGCGGGGATCGCCGCGCTCCTTCCCGGCTCCTGCCCTCCTCCGCCGCTCGCTCCTCTCTCCGCATCCACCTCCTTCCCCTCCTCCTGCTCATTCACTCTTTCCCTCACTCTCCCCTCCTCCTCGGCTTCTCCCCGCGCCCCGCCAGCCCTCGCGCTCTCCCACTCCCTCTGCCCGTCCTCCCCGCTCCCCTCCTCCCGCTCATTCACTCGCCCCTCTCCCTTCACTCTCTCCCCCTCTCTCCTTTCTTCTCCTTCTTTCACCCTCCGTCTCTCACACCCCCTCCATTCCCCTGTCTCCTTTCTGACACTGCACTGCAGCTGCTCCTCAGCCCTGCCCCCTCCCCAGTGAGAACAAACCAGCAACATAGCTTTTTTTTCCTAAAGAGATTTCTATTGATCCGATTAAAGAAAAAAAAAAAAAAACCCCAAGAAACCCCAAACGCAAAAAAAAAAAAAAAAAAAAAAAAAAAAAAGAAAGAAAAGAAAAAAAAAAAGAAAAGAAAGAAAAAAAAAGCCAAAACAAAAGGGAGAACCTTCTCCCCGTAGCAGCGGCAGGAACTGCAAACATGATGGCGGCAGCTCCCATCCAGCAGAACGGGACCCACACTGGGGTTCCCATAGACCTGGACCCGCCGGACTCGCGGAAAAGGCCGCTGGAAGCCCCCCCTGAAGCCGGCAGCACCAAGAGGACCAATACGGGCGGTGGGTATCGCTTCCACCTCCCCGCTGGCCCCATCCCCCGCCGCCCGCCCCTGCCTCCCTCCCTCCCGCCGGCCTCCCTCCCTCCCGCGGCCCCGACACCTCTAGCCCGAACCCGGCGGCTCCCGCGCCCCTGCCCCGCGCCCCCTCCCCTGCACCTGCCCGGCACCTCGCCGTCCCGGACACATTTCCATTTCTCTGTTTATCATTCATCAAAATGGCGACCGGTTTTTCGGAATAGACCTATCTTTCCATTTAATCGGTCTAAAGACTGACCATTTAAATATCCTAGACCTGGGCAAGGGGGTCCGTTAAAGAGGAGGAGGATGACCCCCGAGTGAGGTGATGGCCGCCAGAAGATGCGCGCTGCATTTAACAGTCTGATAAAATAAATAAATAAATGGCACTTGGGTAGCGGATAGCAAATGATTGGGGCACCGGAGAGTTTTCCTCTCTTCGTCCCCTTGCTTTGGGCCACAAGTAGTATGCAAAATCTTGATGAGTGCATGCTCTTACCGCACTTATATTGTCGTTGCAAATATCTCATTGATTTGTCTTCAGAGTTGTGCATACGAGGGTGGGGGTGTCTGGTACTCTGACTTGTTAGTTTAACATCCTGCGCTTCCTGGGAAGATGAGTTATAACGGGACCGCTATCGCTTCTTCATTTGCACTGGAGTCATCTTAACAATGCACCCAATGCATCGAGGCAGAGGTGAATTTATCTACAGCATGTACATTAGAGACGGATGGGGGTCTTGCGAATGGCACACCCGCAAAATTTGGAACGTTTATTCACATAAGGAAGCTGGATTTACCGGGGTGTTTCCTATTTAAGACTAGATCAGTTTGTCGGAAATTAAAGTTTATGGAGTTGGCTTTATTTTCTAAAACATTTCATTTCACTCTTTCTTGGTTCATCCACCCCCTCTGCTTTAAAAATTGTGGCTATTTTGGAGAAGTAACATAATCTGTTTGGTCACTTTTAAGTGTGTTTGATTTAAATGACTCCTAAGCTTTTTAGTATTGGCAGAATTCTTCTTAAGGTCCTTTAATTAATGAGCTTAAACGAGATCATGGTAGACTAAGAAGTGCTAAAGAAATACACCAGGATTAGTTAGATTTGCCAGTTCACATCACTTTGAGTTATTTCCTGGCAGTTATTACAGGCTTGGAATACACCCTACAGTTTGGGTGGATTATCTGGTAGGAGAAATGTTTGTTTTGCATACTTTAAGTAGGATATAGTCAATGGCTAATTGTAGTCCTTAGGTGTTTGCTAATGTCAAACAAATATAGCTCATCACTATTTACAGTCCTTTTACTTATTTATATTGGAATATGTTAAGCAAAGGTTTGTCATCATATAAATCTCTGAAGTTTTGTTAAAGGGTCAGTTCATTTCATTTTACCATAGTAACCACAGATAGAATTGGAAGACTTCCATGTTTGGAATAACAACTGGAATTTAGTCATCAGTTTCTACAGTACTGCAAAATGATAGAACATGTTTAGTTTTTAATTCCAAGTTTGAAAGTATAAATCCTACAAAATGGGAAACATTTTGTATCTCTTTATTTTTCTTTGTAATTAGCTTATTTTTGTTCTTTAAAAAATTTAACCCCATATTTCCTGCAGCTGTATGCCCAATGTTTTAATTGCTGTTTTTCCCTCTTGAGGGTGGAGAGGGGATACAAAGTTTGAAATTATCATGTTAACCAAGTATATTTCTTTGCATTTTTCAGAAGACGGCCAGTATTTTCTAAAGGTTCTCATACCTAGTTATGCTGCTGGATCTATAATTGGGAAGGGAGGACAGACAATTGTTCAGTTGCAAAAAGAAACTGGAGCCACCATCAAGCTGTCTAAGTCCAAAGATTTTTACCCAGGTAGGTGCAATGGTGAAGAGATTGTTTGATAAATCCCCAAGGAAGAAAAAAGAGAAGATCTACCTGTGCTGTATGTTGTACTGAAAGAAATTCTTAATAGTATGACTTTATTTATATATTGTATTTGTGGAGAATTTTTAAAGTATATTTCTACTGTTGGTGTTATGTTTTGTTTCAATAATTGATAAACTGTGTCTGATTTAGAACAATTATGAGATGAATCTTTTAGGTATTTCTAAATACTTCTTTCTAATTAGGAAAAAACTCTAAAATTTAAAGATAGAAACATGGACAGCTGGCATCAGGAAATAGGGTTCTTTTGAAGTTTTCAGACATCATTGTAATGACAATTAGTCTAGAGTGAATTCAGAAGAGGGGGTAGGAAGGCTTCTTAAAGAATGGACCATTTACTTCTAAATCCATTATGTACCTCTTTCTGCTTCACTGCTTTGTTTGTTGGCCCTGGAGTGAAGTAAAGAGGACAAGTGCTGCCTCTTCAGATTTTTAAAATACTGCGTTTTTAATGTAATTGTGATAAGGAAATATATTGTTATGTAAGAAGTAAAGTAATACTTCAAAATTTGTGTTATGAACAGCTGTATTAGACTAAAATATGTTAACAGTTGTGTGGTACTGTAACCTGCTGGAAAATGGCAAGTTTCCTAGGTGGTATAATTTTTTTTGTACTTTTCACTGTGCGTTTTTTATTTCAAGTGTTATATAGTTCTGCGTGTTTTATCTTTTTCTTTTTTATCATTTTGCTATTTAGTGTAAGGATTTTAAGTTTAACTAGAAAATCTGCATAATTGAATAGTATATCTCTTAGGTAAAACATTAACTGATTTGCTTTTACCCAGGTGTAGCTTCTGCCTTTTTTGTTTGTTTGTTTTTGGTTATTTTGTCTTTATGGCCATAAAAAATATTTATTCACTGCTGAGGGGACTGATACTGTTTTTTTTTTTTTTTTTTCCTGGTAGAAAAGAAAAGCTTATTTGCTTTCAATGATCTAATTTCAGTAAGAGTTCTTTAATAGAGGATTTCTTTTTCATAGCCAATTGATTGGTGGTAGAAAATGGACTATTATGCTAGATAAGGTTTTAGAATGGTCGACAGTATCATTTAGTTATACAAATTAAACGTTGTATATTTGGTAAACACTACAAATAGTAAACTAAAATGTAATGTATTAGATATGCTGCCCTTCGAAAGTTTGCTCCAGTGAGTGTAGTTTTGTAGATGGCTTTCCTTGTCTCTAAAACTTTCCTTATGCATTAAGAAAGTTTACTAACATATTCACATTTATGTATTTAAAAGGTATATTATGATGAAAAAAATCAATGTGGAATTGTGAAAACCTTTTACAAATAAAAGCACTCAAAAGAGCTTGATTGCAGAATTAATAACGTGATAGTTCTAGGAAAAGAGCTGCAATGGTAAATTAAATTCACTGTCAATAGATGAAAATGAAATAGCTTTTTTGCATTAAACATGAGGTGGTATCAGATGTGCAGGGATGTTACAGAAAATTGGTGTTTATCAAGGATATTCCAAATAGTAAATTAAATGCCTTTTCATTTGAATATAGTTTATTTTCAGTGGGTTGGAAAGGGTGCACCGAGAATTGGATCTTTTGTTTTTAGTCCACTTAGTTATGCATATTTTTCTTATTATATTGAAATTGCTTATTTTATTTATAGTTAGTTCTGAGACACGTTATTCATATACAGCAAGAATATCCGTTGGAAAAAATGGAAAACTGGAATGCGTTGAACAAAATTTTGTGTGTGTAGTGACGTAACCTGATCAAATGTGATTTGAAATGTCTGGATAAAAGAAGGCATATACGCTCTGCCTGTAACAGGTGGAAACCAAGCACACACTGGAATCAATTTTAAGGATAAAATAAAGCCTTATAATTAATAAGAAGCTGTATTAATTCTAAACACTTTTTATTTAAATATGATATTAACTAGGTTACTACCTGTTCAGACAGATATATCTCTCTTCTTCTGATAGACTTCAATTTTAATAGTCTTTCTGTTCACACTTGACCACAAGCCTGTGGAATTATCTAAGGTCCTGGTATTCTTCAAATAGAGCTACTTTCAACTTCTCGTACTCAGATATATTTAAGCAATACTTACCTGCTCATCTCAGACAAAGTAAAATAGAGAACTGTGATTCATATCGCCGAGTTAGAAGGACTTTCTTGTAGGATTATGCAGTAATTTATTTGGAAGCCCATTTTGTGTTTCGTTTATGTATTTATGACTCCTATTTGATTAGAATGAATATGTTGATGTTTATTTCATGAAGAAATTTTCTGTTTCTCATTTGGTAAGACAGTTTTTTTGGGGAAAAGTATACTTTAGTTGTATAACCTAATGAATTTTCTCAAATTACCTAAGTTTTGAAACAGAATGTAATTGTATTCCAAAGGTTTAGTTAACATACTGATGTATCTAAGACAGATTTCCTTTAGGATATATAATGCAGAGTACAGACACACTTTGGGGCTATTTTAATGAATTTCAACTCAAATGTATGTCCATTGTTTTTATTGTAGCCAATATAGTCTACTCATATTTATCACATTTGTCTGTTTTTTGTGTTTTTTGTTTGTTTTGTGCTCAGCTGTGTCGTTAAAATATCTTAAGCAACCTTGCTTTTTTGAGTAATTTTTAATACTTATGGTTGAAACCTAGAAAATATTTCGTGCACATTAACTGGTATGATTTAGAATTTGTAGAACTGTATTTTATATTGTGTATTTCAACATGTCAGCATAAATAAAATAATTTGGGGAAATTGTATGGTGAGGATTGTAAAGTGCACTTTTAAATTACTGTAATCAGAAAGAAAAGATCTACGAGTGGACATGCTTTATTTTTTGCTGTGCTTTGTAACTCATTTTATCTTTTCAAAAATCTAAATCTTACAGAATACTACTTACTACCTATGATTTATGAATATATCTTTTTTTCTTACTTGATTAAAACAGCTTATTTATTTGTATATCTTTTTTACAAATAGGTTGCCTAAAGTTGTTGCCTTGTAGTAAAAAACAGCTTTCTCGTTTTGGAGAATATATTAATGAATGCATTTTCAGAATGGTGATAGTGTTCTCTTATTCTTTTATTTGGCATCTGAAGGTGTATTTAGTTTTCATTAATAGATAGATTGATTTTATTTATTATAAATAATGCATGGTTCAGGTAGATAATCCAAAAAACTTATTGAATACATTATTTGTTGGGAATAGTAAAGGATTTATAAAATGTATTTTTTCATATGTGTTTTAGGTTTTAGAACATTTCATAATGTACCTATTGTTATTCCATTGTATGACAGTAGAGATATTCATTATATCAAACAGAAATAATTCACTGTAATCTTAGCATATATTAATCTGTATCTTACATTGTTTCCATATTCATGGTTATAAAACTGGATCACAGTTGATGTAAAGCATTTACTTTTATGGTCCGTAAGTTAAAATTTGAATTTATATTCCTAGATTTATTATATCATAATCTTAGCATTGTCCAACTTGGGTGATTTTTTTTTTTTTTTTTAATCACAAGCCATTTATGTGGTAAAATTTTAAAACTCATGAAAAAGCAGACTGTAACTCAAATACCCAACACTGCCTTAATTTTGACATGGGAAGAATTCAGTGTCCCCCTTATCCTTTAGGCTCAGGACCGTATAGCATAAGACTGATCATTTTTTTGGGAAATCAGATGAGTTGATAAAGTTTTAAAATAGATCACTTCTTTTTGTTTATATTGTTGAAGGAAGAGTATTACGCTATTGGTGGTACAACAGGAATATTTTAGTTACAGCTTTTAAAAGTTGCAGTCTAAACACTTTGATCTAGATGCAAAGCATCTTCAAAATTTATTTATACATATTTTAAGGCAAAATTAGTAGATAAATAGAGTTGTAAAAAGGAAAAACAAAGTAGTATAATTTCTAGTATTGAGTTTAATACGATGGTTATCATTACACTGTGTTGTACCTTTGATTTTAGTGTGATCAAAGAGTTGCTGACACAGAATGTGTCTTCCTTTAAATCTTAAACTTGTAATATTTGTCACATTACCTGTTGTTGTGGGTTACTTTATATTTTGTCTCTTTATACCCTTAGTTGGTGGAAGAACCATAATCTTTCACTTAGACATTAATGTCTCTGAAAATTTACTGTTTTTTTAATATTTTGTTTCTCATTTGAAGCAATAGGAAATCTTAACATATGAAGGAATGTTACTGGCAAAGCACAATCTATGTTAAAATTGTAAACTCCAAAAGATACAATTTTGATACTTAATCATGTAAGCAAATATTTTGTACCATGGGACTTTTAGAAAAATTGAATTAGCATTAGAAATCTTAGGTATTCAATTTACTTGATTCTTTTTTATTTCATTCTGATGTTGTATCTTCTATCATTGACTTAGTAAGTTGTGGAACATTATTTACACTGTTGGTATTTTCATGAATTATAATGTACAATGTCACTTTGATATTTGCTATTTCAAGCCTTCTGGATTTTGGAAAAATAGCTCATTTAAATTTGTGACGTTGTGAGGAAATCCAATACGTCTAACAACATTGCCTTGCAAATATCCTCCCTAAAGGTTTCAGGAATAGTTTAGAAATAGTGAACACAATTGGTGACATAGTTCAATATTTATATATGAGAGATGTTTTGTGTAATATACAAGAGGAAAAACAATCTGTGTCTTGGGAACTCTGAGGAGTATGTGGTGTCACTAAAAACCTGAGCAATAAACCACCCATTGAAAACTTGCTATTTTATAGCTATTTTGTTTTGTTTTGTTTTGCTCTGGCTTAAGAGAAATTTTAAACTTTTCAATAACACGAATAACACTTATTGAACACAATTATGCCACTTGTTACCTAAAATTCAGTACCTAATAAACTACTTTTTACCATGGAATTTAGTTTTAGTTGTTTTCAGTTTAGTGGAGCTGTTT